CCTCTCTATCCTTGATAACTTTCCTTCCTCTGAGGTCAGCTCTGTTTGAAGTTAATATAGCTATTCCCTTTTCTTTTAATTAGTGTTCACACGGAATATTTTCTCCATTCATTTACCTTTTTTTTTTTTTTAAGATAGAGTCCCACTCTGTTGCCCTGGGTAGAGTGCCATGACGTCAACCTAGCTCACAGCAACCTCCAACTCCTGGTCTCAAGCGACCCTCTTGCCTCAGCCTCCTAAGCAACTGGGACTACAGGCACCTGCCACAATGACCAGCTAATTTTTCTATTTTTACTAGAGCTGGGGTCTCACTCTTGCTCAGACTGGTCTCAAACTCCTGAACTCAAGTGATCCTCCTGACTTGGCCTCCTAGAGTGCTAGGATTACAGGCGTGAGCCACTGTGCCCAGCTTTTTTTGTTTGTTTGTTCGTTTGACAGGATCTCAATCTGTCACCTATGCTAGAACACAGTGGTGTGAAGTAGCTAGGACTGCAGCTGTACACCACCACACCTGGCTGATTTTTAAATATTTTTGTAGAGATGACGTCTCACCCAGGTTTGTCTTGAACTCCTGACCTCAGGAAGTCCTCTTGCTTTAGCCTCCCAAAGTGCTAATTACATGCACCATGCCTGGCACATCCATTTACTTTTAATCTATATGTCTTACATTTAAAGTAGGTTTCTTGTAGACAATATATATTGAATCTGTTTTTTTAATATATTCTGATAATCTCTTTTAATTGGTACATTTGGACCAGTGACATTCAAAGTAATTATTGCTGTCATTGCATTATAGCTACTTTTCTATTTATTTATTTATCTCTGCAGTTTTTGGCTGGGGCTGGGTTTGAACCCACTACCTCTGGCATATGGGGCTGGTGCCCCACTCCTTTGAGCCACAGGTGCTGCCCTCTTTCTATTTATTTTTTACTGTTTTCTCTTTGTTGTCCTTGTTCTTTATTCCTTTTCTTATTTTCTTAAGAGATGGGGTCTGGCTCTGTCACCCATGCTTGAGTGCAATGGTTTTATCATAGCTCACTGCACCTGAAACTCCCGGGCTCAAGCAATCCTCCTGCCTCAGCCTCCTGAGTAGCTGGGACTACAGCTGTGAGCCACCATATTGACCTATGTATTACTGTTTTTGCCTTTCACTCTTCCTGCATTCCCTAGTTTCTTTTTTTTCTTTCTTTTTTTTTTTTTTTTGAGACAGAGCCTCAAGCTGTCAGCCTCAGTAGAGTGCCGTGGCATCTCACAGCTCACATCAACCTCTAACTCCTGGGCTCGAGCAATTCTC